AGAGATTCAGAAGTAGATGAGTGAGAGTGAAGCAGGGAGAAAGGGGGGGGCAGGGTTTCACAGGGGGAGGAGAGAGGAGGGGAAACAAGGGATACATCGGAGCAGGTGGAGAACAGACGGCTCAGATTATCAGTCTTATCCTTAGGGATGGAGGGAGGCTGAGTGAAGGAGAGATTAACAGTGAAGAGGAGGGCGGGTAAAGATGTAGCTAGGCTGAAAAAACACAAAGAGGCACGGGGAGGGGGTGTGGCAGAAAGAGCATAGACATGTTGTGGTGTCTCAAGGGTGAAAGGAGCCGTTAGGGGAGTAATATTCCAGCACTCAGCCACAGTGGAAATACTGAGTGAGTGTGAGTGTGTGGTTGTGTCTGTACATGCGTCATGTTTGTGTCTGTTCCGATGTTGGGGCGCCTTCAGGCTTATCTGTATGTTTCTGTGTCTGTACTGAGGCAGAAACACGGCATGAAATTAATTCCCATTACAGTATTATAATAATAGAGCTGTCTGATTGTTTTGGAATTACTGGTGTTAAATGTTATAAACTAACAGCTACGAGGATCTTTTAAACATTCACCAAAACTCATGAACACAGTCAGAACATGGTTAACGTCAAATAACTATTCTAGTCAAGATTCTTTCTTTTGTGAGTGCTGTTATTATATCTGGTTATATTAGGATATTTTTCTTTTAAAATAAAAGTGAACAGTGGGTCATGATCACTTTTAATGGGAGAGTTACATTAACAGTTTTGGGCTTTGGCACTTTTGGTGGAGCTAAAAAAGGAGCTAAAGCTTTTTTTCCCACTTTTTTCTGACATTTTACTGGTTAAATTATTAGTAAAAGCCAAATCTGCAAATTTTTGATTAATCAGAGTAATTATAATAATTGGTTGTTGCCGCTCATTTTATCCCAATTCTCTGTGCCACTGCAGCTTTTAAGCTGGAAAGAAGAATGGTGCAGAAAATGAAAATGTGAAAAATCTAACACACGATCTCTAAGTCTAGGGTTACAGGTTTAAAATCTCCGAAAACCATCACAAAATAACAGGAAGCTTTCACGCGGGTATTCATAAGAGAAGCGGATTTTTAGTTCGCGAGAATGAAAGAAAGAGAAAGAAAGAAACCGTTTTGAGGAAGAAAAATGCTCCGGTTGTTATTTGGTCACTGTGTCCATCCAACCCTCACATGGAGAGAGACAGCTGCCACTCTGAATATTTCATGAGATCTACACAATGCCACACACGCGCACACACCATATGACCCCCACCCTCACTGAAATCTCCCTTGAATATACCTGCAGCCTCCAAACACACCCCTCTGTTGTTAACTTGTCCTGCGGAGCAGAATTTGGATGGGTAAAAAAATATCTGCACAACAATTGTGCTTACACGTGTGTCTGTGTGCGCGTGTTTGTAAGTGAATCTGCTTGCTAGCATATGAGTGTGTGTTAATACGTGTTGTGTGTGTCTAACCCCTGCGCATCAGTCCCAGCAGGAGAAGATTGACAGCATAGAGGACAACGTCAACACAGCCGCTGCCAACGTGGAGGAGGGGACCAAGAGCCTGGGGAAGGTGTGTATTAATGTGTGTGTGCTGATAATCTGATGTGTGTGCATGTGTTTGGGAGATGGGGAGATCGATGGCACTTTGCCTCCCAGCCATTCCACAGCGTTTGTCCCTATTGATCTGTTCGAATACGGAGGAAAGCTGCAATTAAGGAAATAGAGAGAGGAGAGGGATGGAGAGAGGCGGGATAAGAGGGGCGACAAGAGACAAGAAGAGAAGTTTGTTTGTATGTTTGCACGTGTGTGTGTGTGTGTGTGTGTGTGTAGCACTGAGAAGAGGTTTAAATGATTGTTTAATAGTTTTCCAGGAGCAGCACTGCCTTTAGCTTAGCACGCCCTTACACTGCTCTGCGCTGAGTGTAAGTCAGCAGACGACTCAGTGCCCTTCACACGTATCACACACTTGAAATGTCGAAAGGTTTGAGTGTAATACCCAGAATGAATCACCTGTTTTTGTCAAATGGCACACACATGCACACGCACGCGCACGATGAAAATGAACAATCGTGCTTTTCGGTACAGATTTTCCTGACTTTACATTTAGTTTGAGAAATCTAAGAAGCCATCCATGTTTGTCTTTGTTTGAGCTCACTGTGGAGTAATTGGACTGTAATTACAAACACTCAGAGATGGTGATGACACACAGTCACACCTGTAAATGCTTACATAACTAAAAAAAACAGCCCTCTGTCATCTGCTTTCCTCTTTTGCTTCCTTTAGGACTATCTGCTTGCTTTTGAGTTTTCTGCCAGCACCAAAATACAGTCAGGGTAAATTTCTTTTTTTTGAGATCATGACGTAGAAAAAAAATGTATTATATCAGCCTCTCTAGCACAGCTAACACTACTCAGTAATCTGCAGAGTAGTTGAGTTTAAATAAAGGGTCAGAACAATATTGACAGGCATCTTGTTTTCATAATTTTATCATTTTTCAGTTAGCTAATGAGTCTGTGTATGAAATGTATGAAAATTGTCATTAAATTACCCAGACCAGGCTGATTGTACTGCTAAAACAGTACAATCAGGGATATTCGATTAGCAGCAAAAGCATCTTTTGGAAGAAATCAGGCAAAATTTATTATTTTATTAAGATTTTCTACCTTAAAGTGGACTTTAAATTGTGAATCAACCAAGTAAAAAGCAAACAAAAACATCTCTGTAAATTATTTGAGCTCTACATCAGGGTCTGTGCATACAGACTGATTAAACAAAAACCCTGTGCTGTTAACAGTCAGGACACACTGACCTTTAAACTTTTTTTCAATAAAGCATTCTTTTTAAGCAGTTTCTTTAAAATTAAATTGACCCAAATAAACTAAACGAAAGCTGACCTCTCTGTAAGGTCACGGGTAGATGGAGTGGGCCGCACATTAGAGGAGGTTGTTGAGAGATAAGGCGGGTGCGAAGGACGTCAGATGTTTTAACGCATTTGAAAGCTTGTAATCTGTCATCAGGTCAAACGGCATTACACACAGACACAGACTCATAGTCACACACGACACCCACGCTTCCTCCACCCTCCACACCTGCACCCAGAGTCCTTTTAACTCAGCTCAGATGAAATTAACATTCCCTCAACTGCCACAGGGGTGGGGACAAGCGATGCCAGCTTTTGAACTAGATTAATTTAATGGTGAAGTGTTAATCAAGTGAGTGTCCGCGTGTGTGTGTGTGTGTGTGTGTGTGTGTGTGTGTGTGAGGTTGGTCAGGGAATCAGTCATTAATTGCCATCAGCAAAGAGCACCTTCCACTCTGATGATAACAGCTGTAATAACACACACAGCCCACATCTCTCTGATTGTTTTTTTTTCCTAAATGGAGATAATGAAAACGCTTTGATGCAGCCGTGGAAGTGACGGTTTACATTTACATACGCAAGGCTGTTTGTGTATTTATTTTCTAATTTCTCCCTTCTTCTGTGAGTTGATGTGTGATCATGAAAGACGCATCCAAACTCTATCGCTGTCTTGAAGCCACAAAGTACTAATGCCACCAAAGAAAGGTGTGTGTGTGTGTGTAGCGGTGTTAAATTAAACTAGAACATATCTCTTTTTCCTGTCTCTCCAGGCAGTTGGCTACAAGTTGGCGGTGTTGCCGGTTGCCGGGGCGCTGCTGGGCGGTGTATTAGGAGGCCCACTTGGCCTGCTGGCTGGCTTTAAAGCTGCAGGGGTAGCTGCCGCCCTGGGAGGCGGCGCCCTGGGGTTTGCTGGTGGCAACCTGGTCCAGAAACACCGCCGAGCCAAAGTGGATCTACAGATGAAACAGCTGACGGCGACGCCATCACCGCCACCATCAACACCACCAACAGATGAACCAGAGGCGAGGAAGGACAAATGACCCATCAGCCCCTGGTGTTCCACTGACCTATCACTGACGGTCCTGTATTGACTGACCAATGAACACCTCTGGTGTTGTTGAGCTTCAGAGAGACTGAATGTCGGGTGCTCGCCTTAAACATCGCTGTTACCAAGCACTGTGTAAAACAATTATGTAATGACGGCCTTAATTAAGAGTCACCTGCTGATGTTCCAGGGTGAATGGTGTTTCTGTGGGGATGTTTGTTTTATACACCACTGATTTTATGTTCTGAACACAGCACCAGTTTATACTTCAGGGTTTTTTGTTTTTTTGTGCTTTTTGACTATTGAGCACAACTCTCTACTAAAAACAATGTTCAGCACTCAAATCAAATTACTTTAAGACGGTTTTATTAGACCCTACCAATAATGTGAGCAGTTAATCCATGTTGCTTAGGCTCATTTCCAGGGTGTTCAGGTTTACCGATGGCTATGCCTCAGTTGTTTGATGCAGATAGTAATGTGAACAGCTTTGTGTAAATTTAAGTGATACTTGGTTTTTATAAATTATATTGATGCACAAAGTGCTACTGTCCATACCTTATCCTGCTGCTGCCAAATAAAACATTTCTTTTTAACACTGGCTCTTCATTGGATAAACAGAATGAACCGCAGAAATGACAAAGCTGTAGACAACATCCTGTAAAATGGTTTTTAATTTACTTTTTTTTTTTTAACTCTTCTTCTCCTCTGAGATGACAGGTTAAGAAATGGCATCACACTCCCCCCTGTTGGTCTGTATGTGGGCTGATATGTCATTATGCAGGTATCTGTTGGCCTCTGTGGGAAGGGCAGGATGCGCAGTACAAACTTAGCAATGGGTCCCCGTATTCAAGAGCTCCAACTGTGGATTCTCAAGGATCTAGTACCAAAAACTTGTAGACGTATAAAGACAGAAAAGCAATTTTAAGAGAACTCAATTTTAAGTGGCAGACTAAATTTCCACCGTTCATCATGTGGGTTTTCCCCTCATGTTTTGGCCTTTTTACTTTAGCATTGGGAAAGTCTCTTCTCCCCCAGCACGATGACACATTTATCAGATGACAACAAAAAAAACAAAAAACAACAACAATCATCATGTTAAAGTACAGTATTTCAAAAAAGCTTCTTTACTTTTGACTCCCAGGAACAGAACTCCAAGGTGTCACTGCCACAACAACCCCAATGAAAAGTACCCAGCCTGCCCTTTGACCTTTAGATTTCACCATATGTCTGTGGATTTAAAAGATTTCTAACAAAAGGATCCTGGCTAGAAATGTTCTGACTGCAGGATGTTTCTCAGCATCTTCAGATGCTTTAGAGGGTGGAGTGGACAGATCTGCCAAGCATTCGTATCCTTCATGACTTCGTTCTGAGTCAGCAGCAGTTCCAGCTTCTTGCGGATTGCTGCCTCAGGTCTGGACACTACAGCTTCCCACACTTTTTCTTTTTTGGTTGATCAAATTACAAAAGAAAATGTCACGTTCCTGTTAATTTGCCTGTGTGTTGCTTTTTCTTCTTCCTCTAAAAGAAATAACATAGCTGAAGGGTTTTCTGTAAAGTATTTCTCTTTGCGACATGCATTTGACCTTCTGTAAGATCACACGGCTGCTGCAGAGAGGGCCTCCATGCAGCATGATGCTGCCACCACCAGGCTTCATGAAGAGGGATGATGGTGCATTTCTGGTGCAGATTTGTGCTACGTTTATACAAAACATTAAATCTGGTATGACATCCTTTTGATTGGTGGTGGAGGGAGGGAAAGAAAAACCTAACTACATCCACTGCGGCACAATACGGTAAGAAAAAATATAATGTAAGAAGACCCCAGGGATATTTTATAAGCACAGTAAGGGACATCATAATCAATGACCATGGTACCACTCGTACCAGGGAGAGAAGGGGTGCATCTCAATAGGCTGGAGTAGCTCAGTCTCTTTATCTTCAAGCCATGATTTAAAGTTATGCTACCCCTACCAAATATTCTTCTATTTCTTCTTTGTGTTTGTGTGTGTGTGTGTGTGTAGAAGATATGGAGATAAAGCTACTTCAAACAGGTATACAGTTATAACTTGTGCTATACAAATGAGTTACACTTGAGTTGGTCATATTGAGATGCAGCCATGAGGTCAGTGAGACTAAACGAGTATCTCCTGTCAGACAGGCTGAACTGGACTACCCACAGATAAGAACCGCACAACCGGAGTGAGTGAGGGATCTGTTCTGTTTTTCCTTTTAGTTTTTTCCCCTCAAAAAAAACAAAAAAAACAAAACACAAAATAAAATAAAAAATGCAGGGTGATGTAAAGGAATAAAATAAAGGAAAAAAACAACAACACTGCATTTAATTTAGACCAACATTGAGAGTCCAATGTAGCTCAAACATATTTACAACCTCCAAAGAATAAAAGTAAAAACACTTCTATTGATGTCCCAATGCCCCACACACACATTGTCCCTCTTTAGCCCACCCACGTTTTTGATTCAAAATAAAAATTGTGAAAGTGTTATGAAAATATAGGTTAGCCCAACATGGTTGTGTCATGGACTCCACTCTCCTCCTCCCGTTCTTCTTTCTCCTCGTCGTCTTTTTTTTTTTTTTTTCTTCAGTAAGGGTGTTGGGTGTTGCTGTTCTGTCCCACTAGCCTGTCCCAACCCTAACCCCCTCCCTGACCCCGGGGCGTGGCATTGAGTCACAGGAAGGCCGTTAAGGTCACAGCTCGTCACGGTCTCGGCTGAGGATGGTGTAGCGTGTCTCGCTGGGTGCCAGCTTCTGGAACGAGCTCTCTGGAGGACTGCTGGCTGCTTCTCCGCCCGTCTCCTCCTGAGAGAAGAAATCGGATTTGAAACAAATGGTGAAATTTTGCCTGAACTCCCCCGAAAAAAAGCGACTCTACTGCCTCCGGTGACTAACCTGTCCAGGCGTGCTGTCCGTGGGGTCGGGCCCGTGGTGGAACTCTCGGTGAAGCTTACCAGAGTGAAGGTCCAAAACAAACTGTTTCAGTTTGCCAGGGACACTAAAAACACAGAAACACATGTTGGACATCAACCATCTTTTATCCAATTTGAGGTTTGTACAGTTGTTCCTAAAAAAACAAACAAAAATAATCCCTAATACAGCTGAAACAAACCCCACTTATTTAGGAGGCTTGTTACCATAACCTTCAAGGGTTACTCCTAAAGGACTTTCAGGGGGTAAAGAGCTAAAGAGTAAAAGGAAAAATTTAATACGGTGGATCATTTATGCATTCCAACACACAATGTCCGACAATGGAAAAAGAACTGCTTCAACTACAGCGATGATCAGACGTTAATATGAGACGCAGCAGCAGCAGAGGACACCAGTCCCTGCGGACATGTCATCAAGCAGCATTAATCCATATCTACGCCGCCCTGTAAAGTCTCCCTATTAACGACAGGTCATGAGCTGCTGTCATGTCACACAGGCAGCGCTGGTCCCGAGTCACCAGTAACCCAGTGTGCACACGCACATATATGTATGTGTGTGTTTATATATATATATATATATATATATATATATATATATATATATATATATATATATATATAAATAAATGTACACTGTGCTAATGCAATTACAAGCCATGTGCCACATGTAGTGGTGATGTGATGTAATTAGGCTGTGGAGGGCTAGTCAGTCCTCGGGGCTTCTGTCTATCTGATCAGACTCTGATTGGGGACGGAGTGGGGGTGCATAATGGTAGGGGCACAATAAATACGATTAAATTAGATTAGACTGGATTAGTTTAGCACTTATTGCACGTGCCAAATCATGTCACATTAGCTCCAGTGTCCTGGCCCATTCATAAAGGACAGATTTGAGGAGGTGTGACATTTCTCTGGTGTCGAGCGGACAGAGGATTATGGTGTGTGTGTGTGTGTGTGTGTGTGTGTGTGTGTGTGTGTGTGTGTGTGTGTGTGTGTGTGTGTGTGTGTAACAAAATTTGTCTTATGAAGAGAAGGTCTCATTATGAAATTAACATTATAACAATACAGGTAAATTTTATATAATTTAGCTGATCAGTATCCAACAGTAATTCCTCAAAACATCCAAAAGAATGCTGGTTATGAAACTGATTGAACACGAGAATGATTCAATTGTAAATTACAAAGTAAAGTCCAGTCGTGGACAGGTTTCATTTGTAGCTGGCCATTTGCTTTTTCTTTCTTTTTTTATTATTGTATGAAACAATAATGAGCCTATATTCCTGTTTGTTAAATCTTGGATATACTTGAACAAAGATGAGGTGATATCGCAAACCAAATTAATTTATTAAAATTAAGACAGTTTTCTTATTTATCAACTTAAAACAAGATTGCCTCATATGGGAAGAGTAACGTCGTACTTACTTGAGGTCTTTGAAGTCGGGGAAGACATACATGTGTCTGAATGAGTCTATGGCGATAACGGGACAGTCAGCTGGCGTTTTTTGGATATGGAGCAGAGGATGGCGGAACTTATCGCAGTCCGCATGAAGGAAGTTTATTGACCCTGAGGGAGGAAAAACCAGTAATACCACTTATTGTGAAATATCTAGGAGGGAAGGAATTTACTGACTTGTTGCAATGAATGCACCCTGTTGCAGTACCACGCTCAAATTCAGCAAGCTCTTTAGAAAGAGCCTTTCTTTCACAAATGGCTTTATAAACCCGAGGCAATGGAACTGGCCCGATTCTTGTCAATACAGTATAAAAAGAAAAATGACTTCCCTGACAGATACAAAGTGCACACACTCACCTTTCTCACCGATGAGCTGGCGAGCCACTTCATGCTGGAACTTCTCTAAGCTCTCTGTGTCTTCTTTAAGATGGAACAAGATGAGGAAAGGGATTCCTTCTTCAGTCAGCTCCTGGAAAACACACAGTCAAAAACAGATGGAGTCAGAACCTTTTAAGGCCTCAGCAGTTCCACACAGACTCCACAACAACCCTCCTGTTTTTTGAATGTAAATATATACTTACATCTAGAAGATAAAAACTAAGCAAAAGCAGGTAACAAACCTCTCCATTTTCAAAGGTGATCTCCCTAACCAGAGGCACACACTTGTCCTGGGCCCAGGCGTAGGTCAGGTCAAAGTTGGTGAGGGAGCCGAGGTAAACCATGTCAGGAATGCCCTCGCCCATAGGTTTGTAGACCACATTGTCTCCACTGAAGCGCTCGGACCTAGACACCTCACTAGGACAGTCAATTTAAGGATATAAACATGAAAGGAAGAATAACGCTGAAACCGTGGACCATCGGTGGATCTAGTTGGTGTCTGTGTCTCACCCGAAAGCGGCCAAGAATGTGCAGTCATCTCGAAGGATGTTGGCAACTTTCTGAAATGTTCGATAGTTGTCAGAGTCCTTGTTTTCAAAGAAACCAACGATGTTTCTCTTGCTCCTCTGTTAACCCCCCCCACACACAAAAAAAAGTGTGTATAATTAAATGATATTCATTTTTAAAAGGGGAAACTTGCACATTAACAGAAACTTCCACCTACATCCACAGAATTAATCTCCTCCACTGAGGGCAGCTCTTTCACTGGGTCGACCTGCTGCTGGCGGATGAAGTCAGCGATGGCCGTCACTGACCTCTGACCCCTGTACTCCCTCTTCATCATCATCCCATTGCGGAACAGCTTCAGTGTTGGATACTTGGTGATGCGGTAGCGCTGAGCTATGTCCGCTGCGCTCAGGCAGAGGGGGAGAGGAAGTTAAGCAAAGAAAGAAATCAATTGATGAAGAGTGAGAAGAAGAGTAAAAACACATGGGGATGGGTGGATGGGGAGCGGCGCGGCGACGGAGACAGCAGTTAAACCTCAGTCTGAAAACAGTGCCTTCAGTCAGCTCTGAGCTCTGATCTCCCACATGAAAGCAGCCCCCCCACCAAGAGTAAATATTCTCTCTGCACACAGTGTGTGTGTGTGTGTGTGTGTGTGTGTGTGTGTGTGTGTGTGTGTGTGTGTGTGTGTGTGTGGGGCAGGTGTCAATCTCCCAGCAGGCGGTCTCTAAGCCTTCGGTCTTCACAGGAAGCAGCAGTTTTGTCATTAGCCTTCAAACAGTTTGCAGGTCATCAATAATTCCCTTTAATTTGCTTTATCTCAAAAGGCTGAGGCCGGTGGTTTATGTGGCTGTGCTTTGGTGTGTCGGGCATCTATGTGTACATATGTGCATCAAGTATAGTAAAAGTATAAGAGCGCGCGTGTGAGTGTGTGCGCGCCTTTTTGTTTCCTGTATACAGAATGATGCCGTTAAGAGTTTGAGGTATTAGATCACCAAAAACATGAACCAGTTGGCTCCATTTTTATAATACAGGTACAAACAAATCATCAGCAAATGTCAGTGTCAGAAAGGAAAATTATAAGTATTACTCACAATGCTGGTCACAGTCGACGCGAGCAAACACCACCTGCTTTGTATCAGGGAACTCCTCCCTCACTATGTTAGATGCCTCCTCAAAAATTGGATGGAGCATTTGACTGAATCTACACCTGTGGGATGATCAGGAAAGTGTTTTCTTTATTCCCACTTTAACTGTAGGAATTTCCTACATTACAACAGAAAGCAGTGCATAAAAACCCTTTACAAATGAATAAGGAAAATGTGGAACTTTAGCAAAACACTGGCATTATAATGAGGTGGTCCAATGACACAGAGAGAAACAACACACTTACCAGTCTGCGTAAAAATTCACTAATGCCACCCCAGCATTATCTGCAAGGAAACAAACAGGGAAGAAATGTAAGCCTCTATGTATTACTTGCTCTAATGAAAGTATGTGCAGCTAGTAAAATTAATTAAGAAACCAAATTAAATGTGAACCCCGTCATTTTTCTGTGACTGATGGAAGAAAACAAAACAAAACAAGAAAGCAGTTAGAGAACAATTTAGCCACAGGAAAATGAAATGCTGCTTAATGAAAAGTGGATGAGCCGAGGAATATCAAACAACGGCCATAACAGTGGCGAGCTGCTTATTTCCAGGTCATCTGAGTATTGTAGCAAACACATCTAGAGATTTTGGGAAAGACGTGACTGTGCGACACTACAAAACGTGTTGACAGTAAGATGACACAAAAAACAAAACACAGATTTAAGATGCAAAACCAACAATCAAGATCTTCCTTTGCTACCAATTTAATAAATAAAGAAATATACTTATTTACTTTATTGTCGACACTTAAATGACTAGAGACTGTTTGAACTTGTGTAGATTTGAGGATGTTATCATCGTTCTCTAAAATATTTTTCCCTTTTATATAAATGTTTGCTTTAGGACAAATGTGAAGAATAAAGCGTGACGTCTTACTTAGGACGTCGTCAATGTTGTTCGAGTCCAGGCTGACGATTTCTGCCTGTCCGGGAGTAGAGAGGCCCATCACCTACAGACACACATGGAATGGACGGATTAGCAGTTACAACTTAAAACACACATGCCGAGTAAGACCGCTACATCTCCATCTGTGTTATGACTGGGGAAGGACATAGATCAGATTTTATTGATGTGATAGCTCAGTTTGCTTACTGATCAATTATCTGCATGAAAAATAAGCAGAAAAAAGGCTATGAAGTGACTCATGTGTGCAAGAGATCTGCAACCACATCAATAATAAAAAAAATTAATTTATTTTATTGCTCCTATTCTGCCATTGTTTTACTAAGTGTTTTATCCTATTGTGAAGTGTCCTTGGGTGACTTGAAAGGCGCTCATAAATAAAATTTATTATTATTATTATTATTATTAATAATAATACAGCTTACGATAAAATGTGATTTAAAACAAAAAAATAAAATAAAATAAAAACCACAATGATAATTTTGGAGCTGTTTTCTGTGATCTGGAAGCGCAACTGGAATTGATTTTCAATTCTCATCCTTAATAAGGATGAGTTGAACACTCCTTCCTTAAAACGTAGCACACCACAGTGCTGCTTCACACAATTTTACACCTGAAATCGCCGACAACCAACAGGTTAAATTTAGGGCCACACACAGAAAACCTGGGTCGTTTTGGAGAGCGGTTGAGCCAAGCCAATCAGCTAAAATGTACTTTTGGCTCATGGCTGCCAAAGCAAATATGCATGGCACCATGTTGTTAAGTTCCCAGATGACTAAGTGACAGTGTTTTTTTTTATGACCCTGTAGTTGGAGAATTCACAGTAAGGTGTAACGTGTCCATTTGAAAATGAAGGGATGGTTGTGGATTTCAGAACTAAGACTAGAACCATCTCTCCTGTGGCGATAAATGATCAAGACTAATCAGCTTAGATATCTTCTTATAATAAAACACGAAAACAATACAAAGGGGAAGATCAGAGTCAGAATCAGTTTTATTGGCCAATTATGTGTAGACACACAAGGAACTGAGTGCTGGTTACTTCTCTGCTCTCAATGTACGTAACACAATTGCAATAAAATTGCAGGTATGACCTTGAATGACTTTCCTATGATTGCTGAAGAAGAACCAGCCAGTCCTTGATGACCATCCTCCGTCTATGATGTTCAAGGTGCTACCATCTGGCTCCAGATGCGATATGCCAACATGTGGGACAAAAATTAAAAACTCATCTCTCCCAGGTCTCTCTCTCGCCTAGTGTTGGATTTTTAAATCTTTGTGGCATTTTTATGTTGTGTTTATAGTTTATTAATAACTGTGTGTTTGGTGATTTCTGCTGACTGTACAACAAATTGTCTCCAGGTGGAAGTAAAGATAAAAGTAGAGCTTCATGACAGTGGATCCTTTACCAAAAACTTTCCCAGTGTGCCCCAAGAAAACTGAGCGTGAGTGTCATCTTTCCACTGTTTCTTGTTCCTGGGACTGCCCAGAATTCTTCCCTGCAATTCCTGGTACTGAGCTAAATATACAGTGCACACTCCTACTGTTGCCCTGCTTTGTTTGCAGAGCTCTAAAGATTTTTCCACATATGAAATCTGGAAAATGTCGGGTGAATTACGTGAGGATATCATCTGGAGTTGCCCATTCTCACAGGTAGCACATAATATGTACTTCATGTAATTCTCGTCCTTTTTACAGGAAATTTCTCTCCACTCAGTTTATGCTTGTGAGCTGCCCGGAGTAAAGCGCAGAAGACACATTACGACCACTCGTTAGCTGTGAATTACCTGGATTATCATTCTTGGCACAAATCAGCGCAACCAGACATCGCAGAGAGCATGCACTGGGGAGATCACATGTGTCGCTGTTGTGTAATGTCTAGGAAAATGGGAGGTATCAAGTGCAAGCTTCAAAGTGGCCTTGGATTTCTGAGTAAAATATTTATTTTCCCAGGATTTTTTGTTAATTCACTAAGGTTTATATGGAACACAGTATACAGGAAAAGCACTATTTTTCTTTTTTGTCCACACTGTCCAAAATGCACTATAATGGTGGAATGTAGACGTAATAAAGATCTTTGAACATTGAACCATTACACTGAGATGGGTTTTTATTGTGTTTATTTATTTTATACGAGTCGCTTCCGAGATTAAGCCTCAAAACACTCAGCCTTTTTAGGTTTTTTTTATTTATTTTTTTATTTTATTTTTATGGTTCAAAGGTGTGAAAATAAGTGTCATAACTTTCTTTCTTTGCCTTGAGCCCTCAAAATATTAGCCAATTCTTAATGTTTTATTCATCACTCAAAGGTGTTCATTGCAAACAATTATTTTGTACGTTTTTGTACAAACATCCTTTTGTCGTCAAATATTTGACAACGCTTAGAAGAAAACACGGGTTGGAACTACAACATGTGCATAACCGGATTACAGCGATATTCCAGGTCTCACATTCTGCAGGGTGCAGAACAGGTGAGACCAGGTTTCTGAGATACAAGTACAATCGAGGTTTCCTATTCACACCCTGCGGGTTTCTAGATTACTTTGTGATAAATGTCAAAGCATTTAAAATGTACAGGAGCACTGACACATGGGAAATTTTACTTTTACTTTGTGGAAAATGGCGAGAGGAACTACAAACACACAGATGCAAATATAAAAGGAAACTGTAGCTAGAATAAACTGTTACTAAATGAGCCTATTTTTAATCATGCAAATGTTACGACAGAAGACAAAACTTTCCTCTTTTACCAATTATTTCATCAAGGCTGTCAGATATTACTCGTGGATCTCCATGCCAGAGCCACTGTAGTCAAAACGTAACATTACAACACACCATCTAGTTATCTGTTGTTATCTTTGCTGACTTAAGATCCTCTTTAAACAGGATACGTGAAGGTCGGCCAGTTCTGAGGAAGTCGACAAACTTGTAAAGAGTGACACAGCTCAAGTGGCCTTAACGTTTGCTCGCACACAAGCCGTCACTGCCTTTTACTTTAAATAAATAATGATTAAAGAAACAAAACAAAACAAACAAAAAAAGACTATCCTACAAAATTAGGGCCGCAAACAACCAATTTCTTCTGTCATTAAATCACATGTTCATCAGGCCTAAATGAAAAAAAAAAAATGCTAACACAATATAGTTTTAATTTGATAATTTTAAGTAAGGAAACAATTTCTCACATTTGAGAAGTTGTGACGTGCAATTTTTCAGTGTTTAACCTATTTTTGTTAATCGGCCCTTATTTATCACAGCAATTCCGCACACAGAGGCAGGCAGATCAGGTGAGGTACCATCCCTTCACGGACACCATCCATCTTGCTTCATATGTGTTAATTAAATTGATTTTAAACTACTTTAAACAACATGTAAATGTGGCACTGGTCTCACTTTTTGGGGGGGGATCGGCCTTGGATGTTTCAGCCATGTCTCAAATAATATTAAGCTAAATACACCTCATGGACAAAAGTGCTGGGCCATACCTCTTAATCAGTCCCATTGCCACAGGTTTATAAAGCTCAGGTGCCTAGTCATGCACGCTTCCTTTAAACATTTGATAAGAGTGGGTTGTTCTAAAGAGATCACTGAAATTTCTTCCCTCCTGGAAATTCCAGATCACTTGTAAATGGTATTATTTCAAAGTGAAAGTGCTTATGAACCAAAGAAACTCAGCTACAACATTGTGCCAAGCTCCAGAGCAATGTCACAGAGTGTGCAAAAGTCACCAGTGTTTTGCTGAATCACTAACTGCAGAGCTCCAGACATCTTCTGGCATCATCATCAGCACAGAAACTAAGCACCATGAGCTTCATGGTACAGGTTTCCATAGCCAAACAGCTCCTGCAGGCTTAATATGATGTAGCCCAGTATTTTTTATATATAAGTGACACAAGTGTTAATGATGTTGACATTTCCTCAACAGGGTCAATAAACTTTCTTCACATGGACTAAAGTAAGTTCCGCCATCCTCTGCTCAGTATCCAGAAAACTCCAGCTGACTGTCCCGTCATGGCCATAGACTCATTCAGACACATTTATGTCTTCCCTGACTTCAAAGACCTCACGCTTTCATTTAAGCTGACCTTGCTTTAAACTGATAAATGTCAAAACTGTGTCTTCATGTCAGTAATTTACTTTGTGACATCATTATGTCATCATCTTTGTTGAAATATATTCCAGATTTTAAAAAATAATAATAAAAAAAAATACAGGTTCGTTTTTGACTTTCTTGTGTATGTGACTAGTTTTCCATTACCTATGGCCCACCTCCCTTCCGCCTCCCAAAAGGAATCACTCACTATTAACACCAGTTTCCTTATATTTTATGGAGTTCTACTTAATTATGTTAATTTACCCAATATTTAGCTATATGTCTGGATCATAAAACTCGGCACCTCATCCGTTTGGTCTCCATCTATCTATTGCTTATATGTAACTAAGCTTTCATGCTACCCAGCTGTTTTCCTTTTTAATTCAAATTGTAATGTTTTTATTTATTTGAAATTAGCACAATGAATCCTTTTGTTGACCGATTAAACTACAGCAGCACCAAAGTATCAGCTCACATCATCAAAAACGGTAACGACTTCCTCAAAGAAGGCACCGCACCAGATTGATATTCGATATCACGGTGGTCTGAAGCTCGCACACAAGTTTTAAGTTTTCACTTCAGGGCACACTGCTCTCTGGCTAGTTCCGGGTTGTCAGCCAATGAGAATGAGCCACAACAGAGGAATTCACCAACCGGCGAGCTTCATTCAGAGACACATACAGAAACACGAATAGTCCCACATTAACTTCAGCGTCAATACAGGAGCTAATATTAAAGAAGGTCAAACGCAGCAAACCTTCATAAATCTCTTAAATTAACAATGCTAGCAACTAGAAGTTATCTAACTGCTGTCAATGTGTGGTAGCGCCTAATGCTAGCTTGATGCACTCCTACACCTTAACAAAGTTACCTGCACTCAAACTCTAGCTTTTAACGATTATAGCTACTGCAACTCAAACACATACTGTAAATTACAGCTAGTTCTAACAGTGATGTTCAACACTACCGGCTACACTGCAGCCGGATAACTTGACTAGTTTTGAGGGTTGCAGGAGGAAACACAGCCAGAAGGCCTCCTGTGAACCTGCTAAACATCTGCAACACTAACAGCGTACGTACTGGTCAACTCAGTCACTTCATAAGCCACGTCCCATGCCAGTAGAGGCTCGTCGCTTAGCTAGCAGCTAACTAACCAGCGGCAATTACTTAGCTAAGCTTAGCTATGGAAGCTACCAACAGCCTGCGGTTACCGTGCACAGTCCACGGCTTTCATTTGAATACATACCAGCAGTACAGCCGTGACAAAGCGGACATCCACAGAGGGAGGTAGTGCTAACAGTTTCATTGTATGGTGCATTTATTGGAGGTGGTGGTGTTAAGTCTTCCCAGTATGTCTCGACGCCGCTCTTCTCACTGCAGCAGGAAGCCGACGGCGAACCAATCTCACGGTGACCACGGAAGCGTGAGCGACACTTCCTGGTAGTTGCTAGGCTTTGTGGATACTGTAGTTTTTCTGGTACCTTCAAGCGGCTCACTTGAATGAAGAGAAAACTCAAATTATGGCGAGTTGTTGTTTTACGATACTAACGGGAGTTGTAGTATTTTGTCAACACAGACAGTGGCGATTCAACGGGACGTCTTGGAAGAAAACTTTTCAAAGATTTTCATCCTCGCCGAAAGAAAACCAAACGGTAAATATGACGACGACGAAGAGGAGTGAAGGGAGCACTTTGTTAAAATGCTATGGCACGAGTGTTTTACTGAGCGGATCCATTGCCAAACACAGTTTTTTTCCTCTGGACTTTTTCAGTGCGATTATGAATAACTGATTTCTCTGAACACGATGGAGTTGCATCATTATGCTTGAGTTTTTTGCAATACTCCTTTGTTCACCGTCTAGCTATGTGCTTTATGTTTTCCAGCTAAAACAAACTTGGTTGCACAAATCTTTTTTAAATATTTAGATACCTACTTTGATTCACAACTCTCCAAAACCTCTGCAAATGTTCTCCATAAAGAACAAGAAGGAGGAAAAAAGACCGTTTGTGGTTAATTGCTGGTTTTTAAATCACTGTTTAACAACTCAGAGCTATAACTATTATAAACAATCTGTTACTCTGAGACATGTCTCCCCTGCCTGTAATCAGTACAGTGTTATGCTGGCAGTTATTTGTTTGAACAGGTGGGCTGATCTCAGTATGTGAGCGAGCCTCTTTCTCTGCCCTGGCAGGAGTCAGGATCAGGACAGGTAGGGGACCTGGATGCACATTCACACCCACTGAGGATGCTCTGAACTGGGAAACATCTGCTGAAGTGTCCCCCTTAACGCAGATATGGTAAGACTCCGGTGCACTTAGTGCAGTTAACCAGGTCTAATTTGATGTATAAATCCCTGAAGTTTATTTTTCTATTGGTAATGTCTTTAGTGTCTCAGCTGAACTCCCGGTCTTTAAATCTCTCTCTAGAGTCAAGACCGTGTGTAACAAAGCTAATTGTGTGTGTGTGCAGCAGCAACCTAATTGTTAAGGAGATTAAGCTGGAATGTTGAATTGAATCCCAGCATTAATATTTTATGGGCTAAAGCTGTCCATAGGGGGCTCACAGTGTGCGAGCAACTCGCAGATGGAGTGGGGAGGATTTCTCAGTGATAAAGAGAGGGAGGAGCTCCATATCCTTTGGGTGTCAGTGCACATTTTATGTATATATATGTAGTTATGAGGTATGAAAAATCCTTTGATAAACTGTCTTTACTGTGTTTGCTCATAGATGATTAATAATGTGAATTAAAGTTGGATCAAAGTTTTGAAGAGCAAACAACTTTTACTGTTATTTTAATTTAGCAAAAATATTATATGTTATTTATATAAAATTACTCATTGAGAAGAGGTAATGATGTAAAAGTTGAATATTGGTCAATTAACTAAATACTACTGAACAGAAGGACATAGGAAAAATGAATATATTGTGGAGGTATGTATGGTGGTCCGCCACAATATATAAATAATTTGGGTGTTGCAACTACTTATTTTTGTGAAAAACTTTGCTGTTGAACTTTAATTATGTTTTGCATACAGTCACAAAAAAGAAAGTATACCCTCTCTCATTTCTAGAGTTGTACATATCAGAACATAAAAAAATCATAATCAACACCAGATATGTTAAACTGTCATTATTTATTTAACAAAAACTAAGCCAAAAAGCATAATCTGTGTGTGGAGAAGTAAGTACACAGTAAGTAAAGTATTGTTTCCATAGGAGTTAAGAGGTTGATTAGCATCCAGGTGCTGCTAATCAAATCCACTTGTTTTACTCATCATCGGTAATGGTGAGCACCTTTATAAAAGCAGATGTTTTGGCGGCTTGCTGGGAAGGCTTATAAAGCCATTTCAAAACATTTTCAAGTTCCTCATTCTACCATGAGGAAGATTATTCACAAGTGGAAAGCATTCAAGGTAGTTGCCAATCTTTCCAGGATTGGACGTCCCAGGAAATTCACCCAAGGTCAGACTGTGCAATGCTCAATGAAACTGCAAAAGACCCAAGAGGTGCATCTGAGAATCTCCAGGCCTCAGTTTGCATGTTAAATGTTAACGTTCATGACAGAAAGACTGAAGAAAAAACTGAGCTACTACACAGCTTAGGTTTACAAAGCTGCATCTGAACAGACCACAAGACTTCTGGAACAATGTGCTTGACATACAGCAAGACCAAAGTGGAGATGTTTGACCATAATGTACAATGAAAACCAAATACAGCACATCAGCACAAACACCTCATACCAACTGTCAAGCTCGGTGGTGAAAAGGTGATGATTTGGTTTTGTTTTGCAGCCACAGGACCTGGGGACTTTGCACTCATTGAGTTGACCGTGAACTCCTCTGTATATAGGCCATCCTTTTGACAAAACTGGGTCATGCAACAGAAAATTAATCCCAATCACACCGAATCTACAACAGAATGACTGAAAAGAAAAAGAATGAGGTGTTGCAATAACCAAGTTTAAGTCCAGGCTTCAGCCTGATTCAAATGCTGTGATGAGATATTAAATGAGCTGTACATAAACAAATGCCTACGAACCTCAATGAACTGAAGCAACACTGTAAAGAAGAGTAGGTCGAAATTCCTCGACAACGATGTGAGAGACAGATGAAGTCACACAGAAAATGACTGCTTCAGGTTGGTTTTAACGGGGGTTCAGTAAGCTATTGAATGACTGTGTGTACTTCACACATTGCTTCTGTGTTTTGGCTTAGTTTTTGTTAAATAATGTCATGGTGTCATGTGCTGTTGTTCATCTCAGCTTGCTGTGATGTTGTGAGGCATGGAAAATAAGGGTACGAGATGACTAATAACATACAGCGTGTCAGGGTGTTTCCAGGCTCAAAGTGGGAATGCTCCACATTGTCTTAACAGAAGTCTGCATTTCTTAAAAATATATATATGTATATATATAGCTTTGTAAATGATCTCACCGTTTTTTCCTCTTTTTTAAAAAAAAAAAAAGGTTCAATCTTAAGTATTTTTATAACAGTTCTGGTGAATGTCCTTTGGTGGAAAGACCTAACCCTCATTTTCTGGGTGCCAAAATTTTTTACATGCAGGGAAACCCCAGTGAACATGTTAACCCTTTTCAGCGTCCTCATCTGACAATGTAATTTGTCGTCACACTAGCTGCAGAGTAATGCAGCACACTCTCACACCGATCTGATTTCCTCTGTCCATCTGCTTTCTGTTTTGCCCTCGCCTCCCTTTTCTGCTTTCTCCATCTTTTTTCCATTTCGCATTGCTCCCATTGATTTTTTTGTTTGTTTTTCCAGCTGATTATGTCCCTCTACTCTGATTCGCCGGTGGGCACATTGCTCTCTGCACTTTAATTGGACATTTAATTAGATCACAGTTTTAGTCCAATTAGACTCAGAGGTGTGGGGAAAAGAGGATGGTGGGGAGAAGAGGAAAAAGTCCCCAAGCTGGTGTCTCTGCCCTCCCTACACTGCCTTCTCATTCTCTCCTCTATCTTTTTTCTTCATCTCTCTATTTCTGTCTGCCTTGCTGTCTCTCTGCCCTCCCTCCTGAGGGTGGCTCATTAGTGATATAATGGGATGACACAAAACACACAGCTCCTCTAACTCTCAGAGTGTCTCAAGCAGTGGCTGAACTACAGAGACAAGGTTATGGGGACTCTGCTGGTAGTGTTAGAGAACTTGTCTGTTGTTGTTTTTTTTGTTATTGTTGTTGTTTCATCCCTTCTTCTTCTTCTTCTTCTTCTCTTTGAAGCTAAAAAGAGGCTAAGTGAAAATGTTGACAGTCTGCCACTCAAGACAGAATTGATCAGCCCACAAATGTGCACACACACACACACACACAACAAACCAATCACAAGCTGGGCAGAACCCTATCGACTTAGTGTGATATCACAACACCTAATGACACTAAGATAAGCTTCACTAGCAGCAGTCAAATTCAGGGCTGCACCAGTTCCCGCCCTCTTTCTCCCCCTTTTGTTGTCGTAGTCTTTGCACGGAGCATAACAACACTGTTTCCCAGTGGATGAAAACACATGGGCGAATGTAAACACGCACAAAAATACACCCTGATGTATGCAGATATGCACGCACTTAGGCTCAGGTGTAAGTTCTCAGAGGGCACAAGCCAATCTCTGTGTCCCTTAAGCAGTTGTGCGCACACACACACATTCTGTGCTTTCTGAGTATCTCAGGAGGAAGATAGAGAGCCAGGCTCTAATGTGCCTCTGCCCACACACACGCCTTTCCATCCTACACTTCATATCTGCATCACTAATCTCTATACATATACCATATGTGTGTGTGTGTGTGTGTGTATCGCTGGTGTGTGTCTGAGTGAACGGCAGTCAGGCAGGGGTGTTTTAGCCACAGGCGTCACTACCTGACCCCCGTGGCTGTGAGATTGACAGCTGTGGTCCCACCTAATTGCATTACTCTCCCAGGTGATTGGCTCACACCCTAGGGGCTCATTTGTCAGGATGCACTGTGGTAATGATGTAAATTAGCAGATCTATGTGTCACTCAGCCTGCTTCCCTCCTGCTGATTGGCCCCGCTGTGCCCAAGGGCTCGGCCCCCAGCTGAGGGAGCCAGCTCATTGGTCCTTAGGGAAACAGGAAGTCCCCAAGAAATAGGGCTTTACAGATTGGGGATCCTTAAGGGCTGATATTATCCTTCCTCCAACATCTATACCTGTCAGTCAAAAAAAATCGAGGAACCGACCCCTGAAGCTTCTCTCTTCTATCAGATACATGCATGTAGGAACCCATAATAACCCCGTGATGGCTAAGAAGCTAAGGGCTCTCTGCTCTAACTGTATAAACGGTAATAAAAATGTTTGCGTGTGTGTGTGCGTGCTCTAGAAATGAAATAAAGGCCACAGGCTCAGGCTCTGTCCCCCATTGCTAACCCAGCATGCCCTAGTCATGTCGCCTAT